ATAGATATATATATATATATTGGCCACCTGCCCAAACATAAAGCCTTTGGAAAAGTTCTTTTGAAATTAACTACTAGAAAAACATATTTCCTCTTGGAGAAATGATACATTCCTTCTTTTCTAGTTGTTCCCCTGGACCCCCTTTACTGCCAGGAACTTCCAAGTCAAGGTAAAATGTACTCAAAACCAAGTGTGGAACATTAAAAGAGGCAACTACTTTAGTGTATTTATCCCCCTGTGACTTACATGATGCTGATTTTACTATTAACGGCTTGTTAATCTTTATTTTAAGCCATCTTATATCCTCTGGGAATCAGGAGGGAGGTAAATACAAACAAGGTAACGAGTCGAAGGGGCAGGGTTACGAGTGTTTCTAGTCCTCTTTGAAATTGATGGTCTGAAGAATGATGGGTTATAAGGAGGAAGGACTTCCTGAAGATGAACTACCTCATTATGGCTGGGAGGATCAACCATACACGGAGCAAATCAAGGTCAACTTCTCTGGCTTCCCAGCTTTGTCTGGGGAGAGGCTGACCTGTGTCTGTGTTGAAGGAGCCCAGTGACCAGCATGCAGCGGCCTCTCGGGAGAATGGTCATCACAGACCGCTGCTTCCTCGGACTTCTTTCTCTTGGTGTTTATTAGGAGTCTGGGAAGTCTCTGCGAGGCGACTGGGGATCTGTCCCTGGGATAGCACCGCCACCTGCTTTCCATAAATACAAAGCGGCTTACTTTTAGTAAAATATAATCCACTCATTAATAACCAGTTTTAGAGCTTTTAAAAAATCATTATTAAGTGTGGCAATTTCATTTTAAATGCAAAATTCTGAATAGACCAGAGATCTTATTTTTTAAAAAAATATAGCTGAGTATTTTAATTATGGATGGACTTGCATATTCTTAGCATAATTCATTATTTATGTAGCCTGTGAAAAAGCTTTTTAATTAAATGGCATGCTGGCAATGCATTGTGAAATGTATAGATGTAGATTTTCCTAGCATTAAAGAGCTAAACACACACACACACACACATTCTTGACAAACACACATACTTTAGTCACTGTGAAGTACTTGCTTCTGAGTGATCTTAAAATTAGACTAAACTTCTAAAACATTGGTAAGAAAATAGTATAATTGGCCAACAGTCTGCTCAATTATTCTCATTTAATTCACTTGACTAACTTGAAAATGAGGCAGAGCCATGGTTCTCAAAATGTGGACCCCACAGAACAGCATCAGCATTATCTGGGAATCTCTTAGAAAGGCACATTTCTGAGCCCACTCCAGGCCTACTGAGTCAGTAGCCCTAGGAGGGCTGGACTCAGCCCTCCAAAGTGTAACAAGCCATCCCAGCAGTCCTGACACAGGCTAAGGTTTGACAGCCACTGGGTGAGAGTGATGCCTTGTGATGCAGGTAAGCTAAGTCTCACTGCCAGTTCCCTGGGTGACTGGTGGTCACTATAAAGTCAATGTGCCCATGCTGTAGGTCAAGTTTCCCCATGAAAAATGCTCTGAAGATCTATCTGAGGTCTTCAGAGTTTAAAATGGGTCAAAAGACTCACAGGGAGTTAAATAGTCTAAGCATGACTTGGATAAAAGCTGCCCACGAATGGCAGACTTATACTTACCAAGTTTGATTAAACACATGTATCAGCGGTCAGTTTAGACATGGCTGTTCTTCTTTCAAAAAGGCTAAAAAGTGTTGAAAATAGAGTTTTTACTTGTATCATTTTCTGGCAGGTTGTGGCGACAGCGATCTTCTAAAGTCACCCCCTGTGGCAGCTGATGACCAAGTTCCCTTCCCTTCCCTGCCTCAGTGAACCAAGGCCAGAAGCTGAAGCAATTTGGAGAAGACCCCATTGGGAATCAGTACCAGAACTAGAACTAACAACCCTTTGACTCTGCTCTGTGCTTTGTCTTCTGAACGAACAATGCTGCTTCTTAAGTACACATACGCCAAACTGCCTCTCAAATTGCAGCCATCTACTCTGAGTTCAGATTTGCACAGCATGACATGAATTGGGCTGCAAATTATGCAGAAAACAGCCATCACATCCATCTGTGATGTCAGAATCCTCAAGTACAATGTGACCTGTTAGTATCTCGGAGTTGAAGTACACTGGGTCTGATTCCTTCTCTGTGCAGCATGATGAATATCCTCCCAGTTGCATTTGGCCCAGTGTGAAAAGGTTAAATATGATTGAGGTTGCGCCTGTGATATGCTCAAGTGCAGATTTTATATCCAAGGGTGCAGTCAATTAGGTTTTTTTTTTTTTTTTTTTTTTTTTTAAATGGCAGAGTAACTAGAAAAAGAAAACACACAAATACAATCATACCTAATGGTAAACTGAATTTATTTCCTCTTGGAAAACAATTCCAGTAATCTCCAGGTTCAGACCGCAGAGTAAACATTAATAACAGTAACATACAGGTTAGTTCAACTGATTCAAGAATTTGGCCGTGTGAAATCATTAAGGAAAACCTTGAACACTCAAAGCTTCAAATGTATCCAGGAAAAAAAAAATCTTTGACAGTCTACATAACAACTATTGCATATATAGTGATGCTACCTGTCACATTGCAAGGCTTACAAATATATATACGGGCCTTATCCAGCTGTGGGGTTCTGTTCTGTGAGAACATCTCTTCATGGTTTGCAAGAATCTTCAGCAATAAAAATAGTCTTGGATTTAACCGTTGATATACCAAAAGAGAAATTCCAGGCTTAAGTATAAATAAAAGGAAGTCCAAACATAGTCTCATGTGTAACCGTTGTTTTTAATCTGTCTTCCTTAAAATTACTTTCTCTTAAGCCATTTTGCTCACACATTTTTTTTAAAAATCTTGCCTGAATAGGGCCCAAGTCCACTTGTCTTTATAAGACCATTTTAGTATCAGACGACATAATACATGTGCAACACTTTATATACAAGGAGTCTATCTGGTGCTCAAAAGTTCAAACACATGAACATCCAACAGTTTTGATAATACAAGTTTTATGGTACAATACAATGTTTTGAATAATATACATTAACAATGAAAATTTCGTGCAAAGAGTAAAACATGTTCCCTTTTTGTGCCACAAACGAAATTCTCCTTGAGAGACCGTACTTGCACTAACTGCTATGTTGGGTCATCGTATGATTCTGTAAAAAAAAAAAAAAAAAGAAAAGAAAAGAAAAAAAAAAAGAAAGAAAAGAAAAGAAAGAGAAGGGGTAAAAACTTAAGTGATTTTATTTTCATCAGAACAAGCATATATATGTGGATTGGTTTACATTTATGTTGACATTAAAAATGTCTTTCTGCACATTGGTGAGTGAATAGGTGCTCTTCAATGCCCTATCTCCTCACTGCTCCCAGGGAGGCTCAGACCCAGGCACTTCTGAGCCTGTCCCTCCTATGAGGATGAGGAGGAAGGGGCAGAAGGAGCCTTTAAGAGGGGAGACAGGTGGCTGGACCTTCCAGTTCTCCACCTTTGCCATGCACTCCCACCAAACTCTCCAACCCTCTATCATCACTTATAACCCATTTTTCTTTTATTTCTTTTAATAAATATGGCTGGACCAAGTGGCTGGACCACATATGGCTGACAGTGCAGTCTGCGTACTGGCCCTGGAGGCTTGAAAAACACAGTGGGCACGTTTACATATGTGCCCAGAATCCCAAGAGGAGAATGGAGAAGGGATTGCAGCATGGTCGTCCCCACTGGGGGGGGGGGTGCTTTCTGTTTCCTGCTCCTCTTCTCTCTTGTGCCTCTTTCTGTTGAGCACACAGACTCATAGCAAAGTTTTTAAAAAAGTTTATTTCTTCCATGGACAAGAAAGACAGAGACAGAAAGAGAAAGAGAGACAGGCACCCCCAGGAGGGTCTCAGCCAGCCTCGAATCATGGGCATGTGCTTGCCTAATGTGCTCAAGAAGGTCTCCAGATGAGAACCTTGGACTTTCTCACATGGGTCAGCCTGGAAGAGCACCGTCTTATACTTCTGTACTATGGCCCACCCCCGACACATTTTTCAAGGACTAAAGTCACACTGTTTTAATAGTTTACGTTTCTGTGCACTATCCACTGATTGCATAGGTTTTCATGCAAATCCCTCTTAGATTGTAAACATCTTGATAGCACTGACTCTATCTACCTCTGAAGATGGATATTAAGGGCAAGAACTACTCAGCCAATGATGGACAGAGGTGGCAGGAAGTGTCCCAGCTCCTCTCCTGAGGGTGGGTGTGGGGCTGTGGTCACAGTGGCTCTTGCCCTCCAGTGGAGACAGCTTCCTGCACTCCACTCACACCAGTGTGGCCCCTTTCTCTTTCAATCTCATTCCAAATTGTGAAAGGGCAAATGCAATGCACGATGACCAGCCAGGCCCTGGGGATGAAAACCTGGCAGGCAGGCTCCAGACCCAGGCCTGGAAGATGGTCAGACTTGCTGGACATTCATGTAGAGCATAAGCCTGGAGAGGGATAGACCCTGTCCTCACCCTCTGCACTGTCCCCAAGCCATGTTCTTTTACCCTCATCTAGTGCTTGCCTACCTCCCACCCCAATCCCTTCTGATCTCAGCCTTGGGGCCTTGCTCAAAATATGACCACTTTGGGCACCAGCAGTTAGTGTAATGGCTATGTCACTGGACTCCCATGTAGGTGACTGCAGTTCGTGTCCTGGACTCAGTAGCTTGAACTCACACCAGGCGTCTGTGCGTGCATGCCCAAGATCCCGAGAGGAGAATGGAGGAAAAGGGATTGCAGCATGGCCATCCCCCCCCAGGGGGTGATTTCTTGCTTTCTGTCTCTCTGTCTGTCTGGCGAGCGCACACGCCCTATAGCAAAAACCTCTCCAAAAAAAAAAAAAAAAACGACCACTTCCACACTCATCCCCTCTGAAATTAATCTCCCTTCTCTGATTTCCTGCTGCACTTCATACTGGTTATACTGAATGCATCTGAGGTCTTGTCATATGGTTATTAGGGGGCTTGGCTCTCGCCCGTGTCAGTAATTCTGATGCTCGTTCATTTATTCATTCCTTCACAGGCATCTGTAGAGTCACCTGGCACAGCCATAGTACAGCAATACTTAGCAAAGAGGACCTGGACAACTGTATAGAAGGATTTTGGCCAAAAAAATGACTGACAAGGTAAGGACTGCTGAGGCGGAAAGGCCCTGCCACAATGCCTTCTGAGCTCTCATACGCTAAAGAAGAACGTCATGTGGGGGTACATAATGGTAAAGCAATATGGCCAGCAATAGACTAGGAAGGGACATGGAACTGTTACAGCACTCCTACCCCTGCCTAGCCTGTGGGGAAGGCTTTGCCATGGAGGCAGCACACAGACATCGCTGAAGGCATGAGAAGGGAATGTAGGGAGGGCACTCCAGGCCGAGAGATCCACAAGGGTAGAGGTCACGCTCACACAGCCAGAAGAGGGAAGGTACTTTATGGACCTGCAACTTGTTCAGACTGACTGAAGTTTTCTAGAATGTTCTAATCAAGAACACTGGAGAGAAGTGGTCATGGGACAGTGGTATGGAGAAAGATCACAATCAGTTTTACCTACGTACCTGGCCGCAGAGTTCAGTCTTGTAGGTGAAGAGGAGCTACTGAAGCATGTAGGCAGAGAGCTTTGTCTTAGTGACCTTATTACCTTTTCACCCTCACACCTGGCACACTGCCCACTCAGTGAGTACAGGCTGAAAGACCAGGACTCGGCTGCTGACCTTTGTCCAGCTGGGGCCGAGGGCACTAGTGAGGCAGCTGGGAGACAGTGAAGAGGATCTAGCCTTCCATCCCTTACTTCAAACTTTGCTTAGTTTGAAGAAGACTGACATCAAATAATGAGGAGGAACTCATCCTTATTTAAAACCTATCTATTTTTATTAATTCAGTGAAGAAGATTTGTTTCTTCTCAGTAGTACTAGCCTCAAAGGACCAAACTATTTTTGTGCCAACTCTTTTATGTATCTATTGATTTTAAATACTTCTGAAAATGACCCAGTCTCTGTGGCATTGCTGGTAGTGTACGGACTGTGGAGCTGGAGGCTGCACGCTGACTGCGGTTCATGTCCTCAGCTGGGTTGGCCTGAGAACACAGTGGATACATGCCTGGGATCCTGGTGGGCTGGAGACTGGAAGCAGAGGATCACAGTGTACACTAAACCCTGTGGAGGGTGCTCTCTCTCACTCACGTGTGCGCATGTTTCCATCATGAATTTAAGGATAAACTAAAAATAAATCAACACTTTGGAAAAGTATGTTTACTAATATGTAGACAGAGGGTAACAAAGTACCGATGAAACCACAAAATTTGTTTCTTTAATAATCAACAGAATTATTACCAAAGAGGTTATAGACTAAAAAAAAGTTCAATTACTCAAAATACTCTGTCTAAGCTTTCTTTTTTTTTTTTTTTTTGGAGAGGTTTTTGCTATAGGGAGCATGCGCTCGCCAGACAGACAGAGACAGACAGAGAGACAGAAAGCGAGAAATCACCCCCCAGGGGGGATGACCACATTGCAATCCCTTCTCCTCCATTCTCCTCTCAGGATCTTGGGCATGCACGCACACGCGCCCGGCGTGAGTTTTAAGCCATCGGGTCCGGGACGCGAACCGCGGTCGACTACATGGGAGTCCAGCGACATAGCCATTACGCTAACTGCTGGTCCCTTCTGTATAAGCTTTCTCATAACTTGTTATTTCAGAGTCAAGTCTAATCTTAAAGAAAGATTTTTTTTTATTAAAACAAAAAAACAAGGGAATTACAGAAAAATAAATATAACAAGCTATAAAAATAGTTACCTAAATTATAGGATACTGACGGAAGGAGGAGTGATTTTATTTTCTTACTATAATCAAAGTAAAAAGAAATCAGTTTAATAACATTATTTTTAAATGTTTAGATACTTATGATGGACACTCCAGATTCATTAGGATTCTAGTGTTAATAAAGACACACTGCAATTCTTGAGCATTTTTATGTGTATCTATATTGAGATACTGCAAAACAAAACCTAAAGCAAATTGCCTGCGATAGTTAGCAGTAGTTGTGTCTTAGATGCTTTCATTCTAAACCAAAGCCATACAAATCTTTTCACAGGTGCAACGAAATGAACAAATACATATAAATCACTTATTGCAACAGATTGAAGATGCTTCTATAAAGTAGTTACATTTTGCATATAGTAGAGAAGAATATAAATCATTTGCAAGAAGGACAAGAGTATGACTTGTGAAGTACAAGCTTACACAACACTAAAGAGTCCCAATTTAAGAAATGTCAAAATGGGAAATTGGGCATGAAATATGACAAAGGCAGAATGTCCTCTTGGTGGGGAGATGCCTGCATACCATTGAAAGATGCCTGCATACCATTTTGTTCTCATGTGTGTGTTTTAAGCTTATTTCTTCCATGAGTGACAGAGACAGAGAAAGAGACAGACAAAAAGAAAGAATGAGACAATACCCCTAACAAAATCTATCCCCAGCCTTCTTTCAGCCCTAGATCACCGGCAAGTTTATGCCTAGAAAACTCATGAGGTCTCTGGCCGCGTACCTGACATCTTCCTATGTGGGACTGCCTCACAGAGTATTGTGTTCTTCCACTGCATCGCCACCCTCCCCACCCTCCCCTTTCCCTTTTATTTGATCCAGTCAACTGAGGGCTATGACAGGGTCTACCCAATACTAGCTGTTCACCATTGACAGTGATCCAATGATGGGAAGGGGCCTCTTCCTAGAAGAGGCATATTTTGTGCTGGGAAAACAAAGCAGATGGTTCTGGTCCATCCTCAAGGGCTTGCCCTCCTCGCCATTGAGGATCCCAGGGCATGTGGCTATTCCCTTCCATGAGCAGTATCCCAAATCCACTGAAAATACAATCAACCCAATTTCATTATGTAAAGGAAGGAATGGAATGTTTGAGCCACACGGTCTCTTTGGCTGGCTTTTAGAGAGAATGGACTTTAAGTTGTGATCTTCAGACTTGACTAGAGATCCTCTGATAACAGAAAAACGCCACCTCATGGGAGGGCTCAGTGGTTTTTGATTTTTGTTTTTGTAAATCATGGGCATCATTTCTTTAGAGAGGGAGACAATAGACAAGTAGGAAAGATGAAAAGTAGACAAGAGAAGCGCTGAAAGCAGAAGGTGAGG